TTTGGTGGGCACCTGGCATCCAGCCAAGGTCAACCCACCACACCAAAGCAAGAAGAGCTGCTTTTTGATGATGATGTTTTTTTCTGAGACATCATGGGATAGACTATATTGCCTGTAATATCTATTTAAGACTTTATTTCACAGCAATGATTCCAGCCTTATAATTGCTTTTAGAAATATTATGTTCTTACATTAATTTATTTGGTACTTTGATGTAAGTTCACCTATGTGTACTCTCAACACACATACTCAATCTTTCGTAATAACTGTTTCCTACTTCTACTAGTGTACTCCAGGTATTGGTCATAAAAAGTCAGGCGAGCAACTTCTGAGGGCTTGAGTGAGTGCTCAGCAAGTCTGGGCATTAATTTACAGTACTCTAGTTACACCCCACTTACTCCCCAGATGAACGCTGAGGCCCATATTCAGTCAACCTCAATTTCAGCTATAGCCTTATGCCCAATATTTCCTTGGGCAACATGTCTCTGGAGACCAAGAGGCAGCCAGCAGGAAATACAAGGCACAAGGACAAGGTGGAATTTAAGCTGACTGCATCTCTGAACACCTTTTTGCCTCATACTCAAATCCACTGGGAAAGCTGAGGATGTCTCTCTGCACTTCATGTGCTCCGGCATGTTCTCGGGGGAGCTGGCATGGGGCAGCATGCGTGCCCTGGCTCTGCATCACCCACGGAGCTCGAGCTCACCCACGCAGAGCCAGAGAGGCTATTCCTCTCTCCTTACGTTGCATTTCAGCTGGCAAGTTTTGCATTCAAGGTTGTGTGTCATTCCTGCCACATGTGAAGTGATCTAGCAACTGTCACTCAACGGGCACAAGGGACTGGATTAGCTGTGATATTATTGAAAGCATTCTCTCCTCCCGAGAAAATGGAAATCCAAATTCAGGTCTTTTCAGCAAAGTAAACAAGCATGGTCCTCAAATACTCTAAAAGAAATCTACCTCATTGCAACCTCTTCATAGACACTGTTTGTCACAAATACTTATTTGCATCTTACAAGTTTGCATAGATTCTCTTACTGATAACTACGGAGAGCATCCTTGCAGCTACAT